GAACACACTGCTAAGCTTTCCCTTTGGATCTTCTGTGTTATGATGTTTTTAATGCTCTCATCTCTTATTTGAAGTCCCCATTCTTGCCCAGAAGACCTCCTGTCATAGATGGGTTTATAATGTAGTCAATCCTTTGAGTTTTATATACCATTCCCCACAATTCATTAGGATTGGCTTACATTTTGCTGCCTTTTTTTTTTTTTTTTTTTTTTTTTGGTATTGGGGATTGAACCCAGGGTTGCTCTACCACTGAGCTTCACACCCAGTCTTTTTTTAAAAAACATTTTTTTTTTGGTAATTGTGGATGAACAAAATGCCTTTATTTGTGTATTTTTATATGATGCTAAGGATCAAACCCAGTGCCTCACAAATGCTAGGCAAGTGCTCTGCCACTGAGCTACAGCCTCAGTCCTAAAAATTTGAGACAGGGACTTCATAAGTTGACCAGACTGGCCTTGAATTTGCAGTTGTTCTCACCCTCCCAAGTAGCAGGATTACAGGTGTGTACTACTACTGTGCCTGGGCTTACATTTTGTTTTAAATTAATTTTTTTTTCCAAATAAGAGACATCATATGGGTTTCAGTGATTTCAGTTAGAATTTAAAAAATAGATATTTTTATTTTAGTTATAATTTAAAAGGTTTTAAAAAATATTTTATTAACTGATTTTTAACATAATTATAGGTTCCCTAGTATCTTCTAGTGGTGACCAATGACTCCCCATCCCAATATCATCATCAACTTACAATGGTATGCATATTTTAAATGTTTTAATTCATTGCAGTTGATATGATACTCAAATTGCCTCCCTCATTTTTGGATAGAAGGAGCTACTCAACTTCTAAATGTAAAAACATATCTTGATGATTTGGATGACCTGCCTTATCAAYAAGTATTCCGTTCAACTTCAGTGTCCAGGTTTTACTTGTATTCATATACTGGTACATAGTAGTAACATTTCATTTGTTTTAGTGTAATATCAAAAAGAACAGAGGTAAAAGAATAGATCTGTAAATGATGTTTTTATGTCAAGATGAAGTGGCAACATACCATAGCATATTGCATGATTCCTGTTTTGCAGTATATCATACAGAGAAAAAGTGGGGGACAAAGGAACCATCACTTGTTAGGTAGAGAGGAAGTCATATAAGACTCAAAAGACTCTGTACTATTAAAGCCAGTACCAGTCTTGGGTTGAGAATTGATTTTAGTTTCAACAATATAGCATTATTTATCATAGAAAATTAGTGTTAAATTGAGTTTTATTAGTATTACTGTTTTTATTTAATTTTAAGTTTGGTTTGACTTTGCACCTAGTTAGGAGTTATAACCCTAAAGACTTTAAAGCATTTCTTATGTCTTTATATCTTATCCCTTTATTTCTTTGCTTTGTGTTTTAGTAGTTATCAGATTGGTTTCTTATGTCATAATTAGATTTTATACAGTGTTGTGTTTTTACTACTTCAAGTGTGGATTTTAATTCTATTATATTTTTAGTTTTATCTTTTAGGTGTGGGACCTATTTTTGCCTTGAGACTTGTAGGAGTACCTTAAAACAGTCTTTATTTCACTCCTCTAATTTTTACATTTCATTTTTTTGGGCTTTATATCAGACTGTACATCTCCAATGGCTTAGTGTACATTTTTTCATATTTTTAGAATTAGTTTGTCAATTAGTTTTCCTAAATTTTTATCTTGTTTCTGAAAAAATAATTTTCCAAGACTAGAACTAGATTTTGGTATGTTTCATTTCTCTTGTTCTATAATATTTTTCTGTACATTCTGTAGTGTTTTTTTTTAATAGCAGGGCATGTGTGTGTAAATTTTATTTTATTTTATTCATCAACTTTTAGTTATAGTTTAGGATTTATTAGCAAATAAGCCCACATAAAAAAGGATGCTGGCAAGTTCTACTCTTGGCATTGGTAGATAAGATTGTATTGGATTAATTTTCTTGGTAAGAACAACTGGAAAGAATTAAAAAAAAAAAAGGTAAAAAGAAAATATTGTGAATCCATCAGAGAACTGCCAAGGAAATGAGCAATTTGGCAGTCAGGATCTGGTAAGAAAAGGAATTCCAGAAGAATAAATCCTGTGTTTGGGACTCTTCTCCTTTAAGGTGATGGATAATTCTAGAAGAGGTGGCTTAGAAGCAGAGAGCCTAGGCTTTGTAGTTCTGATGGGTTTATGATATTATTTCATTCTTACTCCCCGCCTATTTTTGTAGTTATACTCAGCAGGAAAATTGCTCCAAAATAATCTTATCCACCAATGCCACTGTTAATCTATTTAAGAGGTCAGAAGACCTGAACTAGTGAACTAGTGAAAGCCTTCTCGCTTTCACCTGAGATCCCAAAGGCTGATTACCTAGGGGAAATTCAAATTGGAAATAAGTAATAAGCTAAAAATAGACCAGCTCTCAAGGGGACAGAAGCCCATTTTGAATAAACTCAGTTTCTGGTCTGGATTAAGGTGATTTGGCATTAGGAGTGACTCTAGCCTGACTTCTTTGCTTCAGAATCAAGCAAAATCAAGTCCCTTTTAAAAGATGTCATTCTGGGGCTGGGGATGTGGCTCAAGCGGTAGCGTGCTCGCCTGGCATGCATGCTGCCCAGGTTCAATCCTCAGCACCACATACAAACAAAGATGTTGTGCCCGCCGAAAACTAAAAAAAAGATGTCATTCTTAAAAGGTTTAAATTATCTTTACAGTTTTATATAGGTTTTCTACCCATGACAAAATGTGACTGAAAACCATAGGAAATAACAAATAGAAAAGTAATGGGACTATAAAGTAACTATGATTAATATGTTCAAGAAATTAAAAGACAAGATAGAGAATTTTGGCAAAGAATTGAAAGCTAAATGAAAATTCCTAAAACAAAAAATAAGATGAGTAAATAGTCTACCAACCTTCAATGGATGGATTAAATAGCAGCTTTTATACATTGGAAAGAGGGTTAACAAATTGAAAGGTAGGGAAGCATCAGATATCTGAAAAGAAGAATGGAAGAATGAATGGATGAAAACTGCAGAAGACAGTAGAAGACATGAGATTTGATAAAAATGTTTCACTTAAAATATAATGAGATTCCCAGGAGAGGAGAGAATGTGGCAAAACAGTGTATGAAGAGACAGCAGCTGAGAATGCACAGCATGTGAAAGACATCAAGCTATAGATTCTGTGATCTCTGTGGGCCCCAAATGGGATAAATACAAATGAAAGTGACATATCATAGTAAAACCATTGACAGAGTTAAGGGGAAAAATCTTAAAAACAGCCCGGCATGAAAGTCAGTTTACTTGGAAAAAGAAACAGTAGTAAGAAACGACAGGTTATTTTGCTTTCAGAAGTATACTCAAATAAGGCTCATTTTGAAAGATGTGAATGATGAAGATAAGCACAGAAAAAGTTAAGAGAACTGAGTTTATATTCTTGTTCTGTCACTAATATGAGTGATCTAAAGTCACTTTACATTTCTAGCCCTTATGTTAGGAATTGGATTTAAAATTTTCAGCTTTAATTTAGTTTTATTTTATTCTGAACATTTTTTCATAGATACTGATGTACTACTTGTGTTTACTTATGGAAGCTCTCTGGTTTACTTATATGTTGTCTTACTTATGTGTGTGTTATTTGCAAAGTAGACCTGATTGTCCCACTTGATTCTTCTCATCTATGTGTTTCTATGGATTGGTAGGTGGGTCCTATGGCTGAGGAACATTAAGACAGGATGGTTTTGTATGCATCACAACTTAGAGAAGCAGAGGACAGAGGAATGTGAAACATAGCCTTTCATTTTAAATTTTTTTCCTCAGCAATGAGAGGGATGAGAGAGAGATTCCTGAAATTCTAACTCCACCTCTTTTAATCTAGATTGTCTTAATCTTGATTTTCCAGAAGAGTTAAATCCAAACAGCTAAAATGAAAAGGATTTACTTCATTTGTGACTCAGTTTCATCTGTCCTCTCCATTCAACTAAGGCTACATTTTTTTTCCTGCATATTTCCCTAAGTTGGCCAACTTATTCTCTCCATAAATGGTGCTGTACCTTTTAACCCTGGCCAAATTTAGGAACTGTTGTCTTCTTAATCATTTGTTTTGTTATGGCATTCTGTTTAAGGAGTTATAGATGATTTGTTTTGTGGATCCATATATCAATTTGAAGTTTATATTATTTTTTATCAATCCTCAGATAAGATTGTGACCTCAAAAGTTTTCCAGCAATTCTGGGTTTGTAGATTTTTTCTCATCTTTACACTTTATTTCCATTTCTTTGGGTGTTAGTCAGATCTTCTTTTTGGATCTGTAGTTTTATACAACTTGGATCCTTATTATCAATGTTTAGCATGCTTTTATTTACTGTAGCTCTTTAGGTCTAAAAAGGTGTTTTGTTGTGTTTACTGCTGGCTGATTTCCTAATGAGATGAAGAGAACATTTGGACCACAGTGGTCTCTAGTGTGTGCTAATAGTCCTGTGTCTCCCCTATAGTGTTCTGGAATTTGCAGAATTTGAATGCATAGAAGTGGTGCTCTGATGTAGTTGGGCAATGTACATTGTTTCAATAGCAGTATCATTGTGACAACTGTTGAGTTTCTGCTTTGTTATAAATCTGGATTCTGAAAGGATGTTTAGAAGGAAGAAAGGCTTCTTCTTGTTCAGATGTGTTGGCCTTTTATGTTTTTCTTATGGGTATACAGCAATTAGACACTTCAATCTGGTTGGTAAGCCCTGATAGTACACATCTCAGCCACATTCTGGCAATAGAAAGATGGAATAGGTGGTGACAGATACTATTTAAAACCAGTTGTCTGCATTGGTTCTTAAAATATTATGTTCACAGTTTTTATATTTCCTAATATAACTTAGTTAAAAATTTCTCTGGTACTGATTTTCTTTGTGAAACCAGATATTTCAGAAATAGCTTTTAAAATCTGTAGTTGTTTGTATTTGGAAAATGTTTAAAAAGACTAACTCTTCATTATATTCTTTAATTTAGTTAAAAGAAAACTTGGAACAGTCAGTAGGCCAGCTACGAAGTCAACGTTTGTTGAGAAACTCAGGAGGTAGAAGTGTTTCTGTTACAAGTCTGAGTGCAAGTGACCTTGATGGTGGTACTGTGACAGGTAAACTTGTAAAATGTTCTGAAGACCCTTTTTTACATAAAAAATATTTCTGAAGTACATGTTGAAGATATTTAGTCTTTGGAGAAATATAGTACATACACAGTGTCATGCTGATTAGGTGTTAGAACATTTAGTCCTCAAGAATTTTATACTGCCTATTTAGGAATTTATTAAAGGATCTTTGTTATTTTATTAGTTTTTGTTTTTCTCAGGTTGTAGACTACCTGGAACTTTACCTGCCAAAGGTGGTATTTAATTATCCACCACCAAAGAATCAAAACAAAGACACAAATAAGATTTACTATGTGGCATGCTCTCTGGGTTAATAATCTTTTCCTAGCATAATAATTTTTCAAACATCTGACTGGGAACCTATAATATGATACCTTTTGGGAGCAGGTGAATTTTAGCCTTGATGTGCAACCAGTCGACAATTCTTAGGTTAAAAGTTATAAAACACTTAGTTTCCTTGTAAGTAATCTTACCTTTGCTTTCCCATAGCACCAAGATTCATATTGTTGTGAAGGGAGGTGGTTAGATGGATTGAACATCAGTGCCTTGCATTGTTTATATTGCTGATGATAACTAGAGTAATGATTAAAATGATTAAAAATATTATTTTTATCTACTTGGTTTTCATTGATTTTTATGCACTATTCAGATGATTTTTAAAATACTGTTTTATTAGGATTAAATTATACTTTTGGGAGTCATGAAAGCTTTCTATTTAGAAACTATTTTTATATATATAAAACAAACTAATGTTGCTTCTTTGGGAAGTATAAACAACTTGGAACTTTTAGCATGTTCTGTTACCAGGTTGGTTCTCTTGTTCATTTTGTCTGCTTTAAGAGATAGATTAGTGGAACATTATGGGTACAGCATGGCACTTGGGAGTAGCATGGGTTAAGGTCATATGTATATATCCGCATCTGATTTTACATGTCTGATGTAAAATTTTATATTGTTTCTTGTCACTCAGTGTTTTAATACCCTTCCTTTTCCTTCATATGCAAAGAGAGCCACCGATTTCCACCTACCTCGCCTCTCAAGGACTATGATTCACAGGGTAATAAACGAATTAGGCCCAGACCTGGTGTCCGGTTTGTTCGGGATACTGATGACATGGTTCAGGTACTTTGTGCCATTGTGCAATTTGTGTGTGGCATTTCCTTACATTTTTATATAAGTGACTAACATTTGAACTTTATGGCTGAATTTTAAGAGTTTGCTTATCAGCAACTTTGTACTTTTTTCTTTTAAACTATATGAATTGCTTTATTTTCAGTACATGAATCATCACACATTTATTTTGAATTTTGTTATGGAAGATTATATTTTATAGATGATTTAAAAGTGAGTTTAGTTGGACATGTTTTGTTTCCTTTCCTCTACAAGTGACTCACTCTTTTGAAAGCCCTACTAAGTCAGTTACTTTCTGTTTTGCTAAGTTTGAACAATATGAGCAAGTTAGTCCTTGTGTGATTGATCTATTGATTTTTTTTTCACCATTGGTGTTTTTCTTATTGTTAAATCATTAATGAAGTTACTTTCTATTAAGTAAGACATTTTGTACTTGATATATTCATTGAAGTATTAGTTTTATGAATATATTCTTTTGTTGCTTCTCTAAAGTTCTCCGCAGAGCTGTGATTATTTCTTTTGTTGTCTTGTGTATAGAAAATGGTTAAGGAAAGTTTCTGGTTTTGACATCTTTGTATTGGTGGTTTTAGGATTAGGTGCTTGATGTTTGTCTTAGGATACTCATCTGTACCTGTTGTTGGCTACAGTGTAAGATAAAGGTAAAATATAACCAGATGAATTAGAAAGCACCTTTTAGAAAATATTTCCTTTAGCATATTCTTTTTCTTTTTCTTTTTTTTTTTTCTTAGTACTGAGGATTGAACCCAGGGATGCTCAACCACTGAGCCACATTCCCAGCCCTTTTTATATTTTATTTAGAGACAGGGTTTTGCTGAGATGATTAGTGCCTTGCTAAGTGGCTGAGGCTGGCTTTGAATTTTTACTCCTCCTGCCTCAGCCTTCAAGCCACTGGTTTTACAGGCATGTGCCACTGAGCTGGGTGCATATTCTTTTTTGATAGGTGCAGTTTGCTGGCATGCACTATATAATCAAATCCAGAGCACAGAACAACATCTTAACATTACTCATTTACTGTATTACTTCTCTCATTTGTGACAGTGATAAGTAAAAAGTCTTTTCACCGAGTTTATAATCTGTATGGGGAAGTTAGATGTTAATTGAACAAGTATATTAATAGACCCATAAATATGAAGTGAGATGCATGCTGTAATGGAAAGGACAGAGGGCATTGGGAGTGTGTAGTAGATGATCTACCTTAATCGACGAAGGCTTTCTGAAGCAAGGTTGGTTGAGCCAAGATCTGAGAATAGATGGAGTCATTCTAGGTAATTCCATTCAAAGTGAGTTTTCTTAAGAAAGATCCTTAACTCCACTTAACTGTGTATGTTTTTAATGCCCCAATAAAGTTTGTAGTTTGTTTACACATCTGTTTCCCATGTTAGATTCAAGCCACTCATTTTCCAGCTGGTAGGTGGCATTGGTTTATTGCTTAATGTCCATTTATTTAAATGAATCGATTTGTTGTTTCTGTAAGTCTGTATAGCTTAAAAATCATTTATTATAAATTATAGCATACACATACATATATATCTGTAGATAGCATATTTATTTGTAGATAAAGGTACAACGATGAGACTGTATACCAGTTAGAAACAAGCCTCAAACCTCTGTTATGCTCCTTTTTTTCTCTGAGTACTATCATATGTTTTCCTTTTTGAAGAAAACCATTTTTACTATAACTTATTAGTGTTGCTTACCTTTAAGCCATGTATAAATTGAATATTACTGTATGCTTCTTTTTTAATATTTACTTTTTAGTTGTAGTTGGATAYAATACCTTTATTTTATTTATTTTTATGTGGTGTTGAGGATCGAACCCAGGGCCTTGCATGTTCTAGGCAGCGCTCTACCACTGAGCCACAATTCCAGCTCCCTGTATGCTTCTTTTATAATTTTTTTCATTTGATATTATATTTTTGATGTTCAGCCTTACTAATGTGTGGTTAGCTTTGATTATTTCATTTTCACTGATGCAGGATACTCCACTGGTGTACTTTAGTTTATCTCTATTCTACTCTTTTTTTTGGGTACCAGGGATTGAACAACTCAGGGGCACTCAACCACTGAGCCACAGCTCCAGCATCTTTTATATTTTACTTAGACACAGGGTATCACTAAGTTGCTTAGGGCCTCGCAAAGTTATTGAGGCTGGCTTTGAACTTGCAATTCTCCTATCTCAGCCTCCTGAGCTTCTGGGATTACAAGCATGTGCCACCACGCCTGGCTGTATTCTACTCTTGATAGACTTTCTGTCTATGTTTAGTGTTTTCATTTTGAATAATGCTCCATACTTCTTGCACATGGGCAAGAATTTATTTGCTTCAGGGTTTGGCAAACTAGGGTACATGGGCTGATAAAATGAGGCTTTACTGTAATATAGCCATGCTCATTTATTTATGGCTAGTTTTATATTATAGTACCAGAGTTGAATAATTGTGACAGAGACAGAGTTTGCTGACCTCTTCTCTAGGGTTTACATAAGTAGTGAATGGATATACGATAAAGGATGTGATGGGTAATGACTTATATAGCTTTTTAAATGCTTTTCTTTGAAAAAATCTTGTATTTAGAATAGGCATCTATTAATAACATTTAGAATTTGGTCATTATTGTAAAGAACAAAGTTTTAATCTTACTTTTTGTGAATCTTCATGGAAGAATTTGACAGTATCCTGAATGGGTTCCATATTTTGCCTTTGCTAGATTCATGCTTTTCATCAGTCCCTCCGAGACCTCAGCAGTGAACAAGTTCGCCTTGGGGAGGATTTCAACAGGGAGCTTTCCAGAAGAAGCCGGTAAAAGAGTGTGGTTTTCATGGGAGGCATGAATTACTAGGAGAACAAATTAATTTCTGTAATTCACATGTTTACATAGATTTAAGAAATGGTGCTGTTTTTATCTGAGTATTTTATAATTTATTAATAGACTAGTTCAAAGTCCTTGGAATTTAGAATATATCTTGACTCAGACAAGTTAATTTCATATTTCTGAAAACACCTTAACTTAATTCAGTAGAATGCTGACATTATGAAAAGATACATTGTGAGGTATTAGCAAAGAGGTTGATTTGGAAATGCATTGATACCAGAGAGACAGAAAGACACACACACACACACACACACACACACACACACACATGCATGCACATACACACACAAGCATGCACATACACATACACGGGTCAGAACTGACTGGCTGGCTGAGTCTGCATTGCAGGAAAAAAAAGCATCATGTGGAAACTTGTCAATGGATATGTGCCATTGTGGAATCTAATATCTCAGGTTTTAGTAAAAAATCTTTGGAAGCCAGTGGTTAATATCAGCCTAGCCTTTGCTTTTTTGTCAGTTCTGTAGAGTTCCCAAGAACTGTTATTTAATTTTTCTATTTTTTTTTAAAGAGAGAGACAGAGAGAGAGAGAGAGAGAGAGAGAGAGAGAGAGAGAGAGAGAAGAGAGAGAGAGAAAGAGACCTGTTACTTAATTTAAAACTTTCTTACTGTCTTTTCATTTTCCTTGTGGTACTAGGGATTGAGTACAGGGTACAATTGAACAACATGTCAATCCCCAGTCTTTTTTTTGAGCTAGGGTCTCATTAAATTGTCAAGGCTAGTTTCAAACCGTGGATCCTCCTGTCTTAGTCTTGAAAGTAGCTGAGATTATAGGAGTGTGCCAACACACCTGACTTATTTTTTTCTTTGTAAAACAGTGGCAGGTGGTTTTATTTTAGAGGCCATATTTTCCTAAGAAACAAAACTTTTATATTAAGAGTCATAGTCTGTGTACCCCAAAGGTTAAGGAGTGACACAGCTGAACTGAAATCTATTTACCATGTGTACTTGCTAATTCTACTTCCTAAATCATATCCCATGCCACTTCTGTATTGCTGCAACATAGAGTCCAAAATATAACTATAAATTTATCAAGTATAGTCTGCATTACTTCCCTGCTTTTAGATGAGGAAGCCAGAAAATTTAGTAATAAAAACTAGATTTTGCTATTGCTAGTATTATTAGCCAATATTATTGAGCAATTATTTCAGGATAGGCAGATTTAAATTTAATTCTTGCAATACCTCTAGGAGGTAGCCATTTATTATTTTCTCCATTTTATGAATGAGAAAATAGAAGCACAGAGAAATGAAATAACTGTTTGCTTAAGATGGAACATGAGGTAAAAATAAACACATTTTCAGAGATTTGTAACTTAGAAAAATTTCCCCAGCCCTGCCACAAACAAAACCAAGTCAAAAATAACAACTTAGAAAATTTGCTTTTTTTAAAGTAACTTCTTTAAGATCTGAGGAAATTATTTAAGGTCATATAAATAAGATTTTAACTAAGATAGAGGAAGATTATGTGTGTGTGTGTATAAATATATAAATATAAATATATATATAAATATATATATATATATATAAATAATGTATATGATAAGAAAAATTAAAACTAGCCTAGGAATTAAGTGGAAGTAACCTGAGAATAGCAGTCATTGAGCAGGCCCACAAAGCATTCACTTCAAATTAGAGTGGGAAAGTAAGTGTCCTTTGAGAACAATGTATTCTAGAAGAATGAAGTAGATTTTTTTCATAGAAGGATGATTCAATAAGAAATGGGAGGAAAATATCAATGGATGATAAATAACGCCAAAAGATAATGAGAAACTCTAGGGAAAAAAACATAGAACAAGAAAGTTATGATCCAAGTGTGAAGCTGACCAAAATGTAAGCATGATAGGATATGAGCAAAATATCATCAATTTGGAATAATGCATAAAGTATGTAAAATCACACAGGTATCCAGTATTACTAAAGAATAGTAATTAATTTATTCTATTTGAAAAGAATGGGAGAGGTGTATACAGACTATGACTCTTATTCTGTGTTTGAAGTGAGCTAAATACTTCAAAACAAAGAGTCAAAGTGAAAATGTTTGGAGTTGAAAGTGATGAAGGTAACAAGCATTAAGAATGGAAGAGGTTTTGCATGGTTGCTAGTAGGGAGTGGGTCCAGAGGTATGGGAGTGGTCTTTCCATGCTGTTTTGTTTATAATCAATGCTTTTCATTTGACAGTGTAATTTGATTGTAAATTGCTAGAGACAGGGTTTGAGATTAAGAGCTTTGTCATTCCCTTCTTCCTCTTTCCTCCCTTCCTTTTTTTTAATTACAAATAAGAGCTATTACAGCAAATTTGTTTATTTGTTTGTTTTTTAAAAACATTGCTTTTAATTTCTGTCTATGGATGTTTTTTCCTTTTTTTTTTTTTTTTTTTTGTGATGCTGGTAATTGAACCTATGGCCTTGTGCATGCAAGGCAAGCACTCTTTCAACTGAGCTACATCTCCAGCCCCATGTTTGTTTATTGAAAGTGATATTCTAGTGTACAAGTAGTTCTCAAAGCTGGGTACACAGGTGCACAATATCTGTCTTACTTAGGAATTTGCCTACTTCTTGGGCCCCAGCCAGATTTACTGGTTCAGAAATTTTAGGAGTGGAGTCCAATAGTCTGTGTTTTAACAAGCACTCTGGCATTTTATACACTTACTAATGTAGAATATTATGTAATAACTATAATTATATTGTAAATTTCCCTAATTCTGTATATTTTCTCAGATATCCAACTTAAATTTTTTTCATTTTTTGCTTAGGTCTGATGCCGAAACAAAAAGGGTTTTGGAACAATTGACTGAAAAACTTAATGAAACCCAGAAGCAAGAAGTGGTGAGGACTCTATTTATAAAAAAAATTTATTTCACATGTAGATGAAAAGAGGTGGCCAGGCTGGTCGTAATCATAATGAGGTTTAGCAGAGCTTAAACTTTAGTGTGCTATATGCCATTTTATCTAAAACTATGCTTTTGTGCCTTTTATAAAATGATCATGAATTTTAAGAATTTAAGGCTAATGTATCTTAGAGTAGTATTTTAGAGAATTAATTTTTAATTTTTTAATATTTGGTTTTATGAATATTTGAAAGAGATTTTAAATGTTATTGGATCAGTGATTTTTTTTCATAGCTTTTATTAAGTGATATTTCTGTAACAGGCTCTGGAGCATTCTCCATTAATTATTTTCAAATGAGTAAATGTATAATACTTGCTATGAAGACCTCTTTGCTGTTTTTGTTTGAAAATGCCTTAATTCCCAAGTATTATTGCAAACAGAGATTGTTGACATTATTCATTGATTTATTTGTATCCACTCATTTTTCCATGTCACTGATATTTTTTTTTTTGAGAAGAGTATCAATAGAAATTGCCACTAAACTGTTAACAAATTTGTCAACTTCAGGAGCAATGTGTATCATTCATTTTCCAGAATGCTTTTTGTTATCTCAAAGTAAGGAAAATTAGAATTTTTTTCTCTTTACTTTTTTTATTAAAATTGTAAGTTTTCTAGTCAAAGCAGATTATTTTTCTCCTGTTAATTGTGTTTACAGTTTGTTACATATATTGGTTGAGTTCATTTTAGAGTCTGGTCTGAATGTGTGGCTTCATGTGCTAAGAGATATGCTCTATTTTCAAAGAGTTTAGTTACTGCTCAATTTAGTTACTGCTCTTGCTGTGAAATTTGCCCATTTCAAGAATATGAAACAATTCCCATCTACATAAGATCACCTTTCTTCTGTATTTTTTAATATTTATTTTTTTAGTTGTAGTTGGACACAATACCTTTATTCCATTTATTTATTTTTATGTGGTGCTGAGGATCGAATCCAGGGCCCCATGCATGCTAGGCGAGTGCTCAACCGCTGAGCCACAATCCCAGCCCCCTTCTGTATTTTTGGTACTAATTTCTCTGTGAATAGTTGCAGGGAGATGAAGATATAGTGCCTATCTTCTGTTGAAATAGACATAATCTTTGTAGTTAGTGTGTGAGCATGTGGCACCTGGTGTGTGATTGTGGCACACCTCTTTTTTTTCCCCCCCAGATATGTCAAGAGCACCTTTAGTTTAAATTGTACCCATTTAAAATATCTAAAACATCACATACTTAAAAAGGTCATCTCTGACACCAACATATTGGTGATTTTCTTAGTTCATTGTAGTGGTTCACAAAGTAAGAAAAATCTATGGCATTGTTTAATTAACATACCATCTAAATAGAAGCTAAATGTACACATTTAAGAATATAGTTATGAAGTCCTCTTTATCTTACTAAATGACAGTGTGGCTCTTTTCACAAATTCTTTGTCATCTTTTTAGTTTTTAAAAATTGGAGGCACGTGTACATAGGAAAGTACAGACAACTGTATAGCTCAATGAATTATAACAAGGTGAATATTCACATGTAACCACCCCATTTAGAAATAGAATATTAGCTAGGAAGCCTCCTCATTGCTCTCTTCAATCACTAACTCTTCCTTTTATAAGTAGCCTCTATTTGAACTTTTAAATTTTGGGGGGTTTTGGTAAATGGAATCTTGTTGTCCATTTGTGTGTGTGTGTGTGTCTGACTTTTTAAAAAATATTTATTATGATGGTGCTGTTTATGGCTGCTGTTTTGGGTTCTTCAGGTTCTTACAATTTATTTTTTGGCTTGTTAGTATTTTTTTGCATGCATATATTGCAATACATTTTGCAATCTATGGTAAATATTTAAATTACTTTGAATTATGGTCATAATACTGTTTTGACTAATCTTATTCAGTATTTTATTGCACTTTACATCCATTTCTGTTGGAGTGCATGGAAGGTGCGTTCAAATTCAGTAGTAGATGGTATCTAGATAGATTTAAAGTGCTTGCACTAATTTATACTCCCACTACCAGCATAAGAAAATTCATGTTACTCTTCATCCTTTCTTTTTTCTTTTTTGTATTTTATTTAGAGATAGGGTCTCACGGAATTGCTTAGTGCCTTGCTGTTGTGTATTGTGTATATTTAAGATATATATATATATATATATATATATATATATACACACACACACACACACACAGACACACACATACATATATATGTATATAGATATATGTATAATTAAGATATATAACATTATAGTATTGGATGTTTGTTGGCTTTGCACTTGGGATCCCCCTGCTTCAGCCTCTGAGCTGCTGGGATTATAGATAGGCATGCACTACCGCACCTGACACTCTTCAACCTTTCTACACATGCCATTACCAGTTGTTCAGTAGCCATTATGACAGGTGTTGATGTTATCAAACTTATTTTAGGTTTACCTTTGTATTTTCATGATTACTAATGATAATGAACATCTTGTCATGTTTTTGGTTATTGCATATTTTCTGTTTTGAAATGCCAGTTCGCATATTTTGTTCACTTTCTTTATTGAGTTGCTTGTTTTTTGTGGGAGGTTCTTATATGTTTTTACAACAGCACTTGGTCAGTTATGTGTATTACGATGTTGTCTTCCACTCTTCAAGTTATTTTCTTTCATTTAAAAAACTTTCTTAATGTGGACTTTTAATGTAGTTCAATTTTCAATCTTTTCTTTTTGTGATTAGACCTCTTCTGACCTGTTTAAGAAGTTGTTTCTTAAGATCATTGACATAATCTCTCATGTAATCTTCTAGAAGCTTATTGTCTTAACATTTCACATTTAGAGCTAATGTTTATTTGGAATTGACAGTGTGAGGTAGGGGGAATAGATTTTATATGACTCTCCAGTTGACACAGTTTCATTTATGGAAAGGACCACACTTGCCCCATTACTTTACAGTCCTGTCTTTGTCATAAATCAGATGTTCATGTATGCAAGAATCTGTTTCTGGAGTCTTTGACACCTGGTTTATTCCTGTGTCCCCGTGCCAATATCTCATTGTCTTGGTTACTGTTGCTTTCTGGCAAGTTGTGATATAGGTATATAAATTGTTTCTAAAGGTTAGTTTGGAGAGAACCGAAATCTTTACAGTATTGAGTTTTATAATTCATGAACACAGCATATCTTTCAAATGTTTTAGAGCTGTCTTTTTTTAAACAGCTTTACTGACATATTATGGATGTATGACAAATGGTCCATTGTTAAAGTATACAATTTGATAAGTTTTGACATAAGTATGTACCTGTGAAACCATCACCATAATCAAAATGATGACATTTATCACTCCTAAAATTTCTGCCTCTTTCTGTTCATCCCTGCCCTTCTCCTACCCCAAACAACTCAAATTTCATGTAATCATTTATTTATTAAAATTGTTATTGTGTAGATTTAAGATATATAACATGATATTATTAGATATATGTAGCTAGTAGAATATTTCTAGAGTAAAATAAATTGATAATGTTCATCATATCTCATATTGGCCTTTTTTGTTTTGTGTTTTTTTGTGGCAGAAATTGGTGAGTTTCATATACAAAACAATTTTATTACCTATAACCCTCATGTACATTAGACCTCTAAGTTTGCTCATCCTACATATTTACTATTTTGGATTCTCCGACCTATATCTTTCTATTACGTGCACCATCCTCCCAACCACTGCTTTGTCCTCTGTCTCTGTATATTTGAAACATTTCCCCTTAGGTTCCACATGTAAGTGAGACCATACAATATTTTTCTTTCTGTATATGGCTTATTTTACTTAGTATAATGTCCTGAACTCTCATCCATGTTGTGACAAATGGCAAAATCTTCTTTTTAAGTGCTGAATAGTATTCCATTGCATGTATGCAGCGATTTCTTTATCCACTTGTCTATCTGTGGACCTTTAGGCTGTTACCATATTTTGGTTATTCTGAGTTTGTTTCAATATACATGTCCCAAGTGTAGATATATTTACAAAATGGGGGTTTTCATTTTCTTAGGGGTATATACCCAGAAGAGTTATATGGTACTTGTATGGTAGTTGCATTTTTAATTTCTTTAAAACCTCTATACTGTTTTCCAGAATGGCTGGGCCAAACTTCAGTAGTGTAAAAGAGTTCCCTTTCCTCTGTACCCTCAACAACTTTAGTTTTCTTTGGTCTTTTTGATAATATTCATCCTAATGGGTGTAACATGTATCTCAGTTCTTTTGATTTTCATTGCCCTAATGATTGAGTTCAACAATTTTCATATATTTGCTTGTCATTTTAATGTCTTCTTTGGAGAACAGTCTATTCAGATTTTTTGTTGATTTTTAAATTAGATTATTTGTTTTCCACCATTCAGTTCAATGAGTTTCTTATATATTTTGACTATTTACCCTTTATCAGATATATGGTTTGCAGTTACCGTCTGTTGCCATTTCATTTTGCTGACTGTTTCTCCTTTTGGTTTGATATAGTCCAATTTATTTTTGCTTTTATAGCCTGAGCTTTTGATGTGATTAACCAGGAACCTGTTCCTTCGGAGGTTCTTAACTCTAGTTTTTTACCCCTAACAGCTCACAAATCTTTTAAAAAATTTCTGGAGCATTTGTGTCTTAGCTGCTTTTTCTGAAATGGTTTGATATTTCATGGGGGATGTATGGTCCTAAAAGATGAATTGACCTCTCTGGGTTTCTTTCTTTTGCATTTTTTGTCTCATATGTTCTTATTTTTAGCTCTCCAGTGCCTTAAAATATTTTTACTTAAAATATTTTTTCAGGCTGGGGTTGTGGCTCAGTGGTAGAGTGCTTGCCTTAGCATGTGTGAGGCATTGGGTTTAATTCTCAGCACCACATATAAATAAATAAAGAAAAGGTCCATTGGCAATTTAAAAAATATTAAAAAAATATTCTTTCTAGTTATTTTTAGTAGAAAAGATCACTTAAATTATCCAGTAAGTCATTTTTG